TCTTGGGAGCTGCATTCGTTTTCCACCTCTTGGGAGCTGTTTGAGTCCTCATCCCACCACCCCAGCACCCCTGGCCCCCTTCCCTCTCTCCCGCACCTGGCCCACGCCTCGTGTGGAAGTTGGCCTGGCCAAAGAACGCACCAGGGCTGCAGTGTGGCATTTGCCGCAAAAAGACAACGTCTCAGATGAAGACCCTCAGCCAAACAACCGCATCGACGCTCTTGGGTCGCATCGCATCGTCCGCCTTTTTCTCCCTGTACCGAAACCGCGCTCACGAACCCATGACGATATGCACAGCGAACGTGAGGCTTTCGCGGATCTGTCCAGCGACAAAAGGAGGCTGCATTTGCTTGATGAGGAAAGTATGGCACCAATTGACCTAGCTGCAAGCCATAGCTGCATGAACAGAAGCCTTAGGGTGTTCACAGTAGTCAAGCCAGATTTCACTCAGCCAGCAGCTAGTCAAGAATGCTGCACCGTGCCTTTTTCCTTGGGCATTTCCTTGGCTCGCCCAACGTCAGATGTTTCAAGCAGCGTCGTTCAGAGTAGAGTACAGTCGCTCCATGTCACTGCCAAAAACCCAGCTTCTGTGCTTAATTGTGAACTTCGGAGCCCTCTTTTGAAAAGGGCTGAAGTCTCACTGTGCTGGGCGGCACATCACTCATCTGATCTCATTTTCCAGCCTGACAGGTCACTGGCGGGTCCCACACTTCTCATAAGAGTTGTGCAGTGTATAATTAATGTACTAAGCGAGTAAAAATCAGGCCATGCGAGCATCGTCTTGGCATGGCTTCTTGGTGGTTTCAACCCACCAAATCCAAATCCAAGAAACAAGACGTGTGTCAATAGAATTGATCCCAGGTCAAAGGTTGAACATGTTGAAACCACCAAGCAGTTGGCGGTCGATCTCCGCCATTCAACTTGCCCTCGTGACACCGTGGCTGCCATCTGGGCAAGAATTCCCAAAAATGCACAGGAACTGATCAGTTCAATCAAAGATTCAGCCGGTGGCCCTCTCCCAGTCTAGGCTCCTTTACTTTTGTTCTGATCCAGCTGTTTCTGATCCCTCCTGTACCGACGTACCGAAGCTCGACTTCTAGTGTGTATCTGTGCTAATAGAACGTCCGAAATACAGTCCCCCTCTGGCGAGGCTCGCACCAGGAAGTCAGAGTTGTAGAAAACATGACCTAAGTGTATTTTTGAACCCAACCAATGGGTTTTGTCGATTTTCCTTCTTCCAGGGGTCGTTGGAAGGTCTCCCTGATTTAATACACACCCACCTGTCATTGAGTGATCTCTCTATACTTTCGACTCACCGCCTGTTCACGCTTTCGATAGTAGATGGAGTTTCCCCTCGAAATTCAAGCCCCAAATCGCTGAACTCAATCTTCCCAGTGCTGCCCGTGTAGGGGAACGCGAGCTGCCTGCGCACGTCTTGGATTTCTCTAAAAATTAGTACTAAACACATGGACACTTGCTGTACCGAAGTGTCCTGTAAACCCCATGCTCAATAACTCGAGTTTGACCCTGTTTTTGGTCATTCTCAATTCGCATCCTACATGGGCTGAAAATAACCGCGCCGGAACGATATGGCACGCAATAAGGATAAAAAACACTAAGCATACACCCGCACAGCTGGCTTTTAGGATCTTTTCTTTCTCGGCTGCCGTGCGCGATCGGCGCCACGCCGATCTCCTAAACCAGCCTGGCTGCGGTCCCTGCATGAAAGAATCGCACATTGGTGAAAAAGGCCTGCAGGGAGGACTGCACCTCTGGAGCATATCTGCAAGATCCCACTATGCTATACCGGCTATACCTGTGTTTGTACATCACAGAATTTCTTTGCGGCACATTTATCAAATTTGTCCTCAGTGTCGAAAGATGTCGAAAGGATGCTGAACTCGTGGCCCCACTGTAGGTGCAAATTTGAATGCATAGCCCAAGGATGCTGACCACTGTGGTCGACTTCCATTGAAGTCATTGAAGTATATATAATATGTACTTTTCCAAACTACTCAAGAGAGCTTCCAGGAGGAGCCCCGAAACCTGCTCACCCTTCAACCAACAAGGGGTAAGATGGCGGTTTTAGGGCTCCTCTTTCTTGTACACTTTCTTCAACAAGATGATCCAACTGGCTGATAACTCCCTGCCTTAGCAACGAGAACCGGAACCACCCGCTGAAAATGGACTCTACAAAACCGGGGCTTCTCCTGTGAACTCGGGCCACCTGAATTCGGGCAAACGCTCCAAGCGTTGACGCCTCTTTTCTGGCCTCAACGGACATCCAAGCTGGGCATCTTAGCTTTTGGAGAAGAGCATTGGCCTGAACCAGTCGTTCTTGATTCGCTCTAAATCCTTCTTGAAATACTTGCTCATGTTTGCTTCATACCCTTGCGTGACAGCTGGAGCAACCTCCACGATCTTTTTGGAGGGGTGGAGCAACAGCCGTCGCTGATGGAAACTCCGCACAAACTTCTGGGCTATGTCAGGGGACTCAAAGTTGATGAAGCCGTAGCCACGATTGCGCTTGGTCTTGAAGTCCATGGGCAAATAGAAGAAATCGAACGTGTCATCAAAGCCCGCTGCCATGACCTCACTCAAGAGTTCCTCACATGTATAGCGGTTGGGGATGTTGCGCATCATCACCGTAGTCTTGTTGACTAGGAGTCCAGCGATGGTCTCCCCGTCCATTGCACCCTTCTTCCCAAGCCCCTCTCCGTCGCCCTGGGCTCGTCTCGGCGACGGAGGCTCCAAGAGTTGATCCAGCAACAAGGGCCGGCCGGTGGTTGGCGTCTTCGACACCGACACCTGCACGGCCAGCGGACAAAGCAGTGAAGGCGGTGGGCTTGGGGAAGCTTGCACCCGCTGGCCGGATGGCACCGGCGGTGGGAGGAAGCTTGGAGGCATCGGTTGGGTGGAGAGGACGCAAGGCTCCTCTGATTGAGAGACGAGCTCCAGCGGAACAGGAGGACTTGCGATGATCAAGGGATAGGCCTGCTGCTCTGGGCACTCCATATAGGGAGGCATGGGAAGCACGGGAGAGGCAGGTTCTTCATAGTCCACGCTCAACATTTGGCTCGAATCTTGGCTCTAGGGATTGCTTTTGATGCTTGTGCAATGGAGCCGCAAACTGGCTACGGAAAATTCCAACACTTGCTGTGCTCCAACTCCAGTATGCAGGTGTCAAAAAAATGGCAACTTGGGCAAGTGAAAGAAAACACAACGCCACTCCTTGCTCCATTGGCTGCAAGCGAAAGCCAGATTTTCTCGACTTCGGCACCTTCGGCTCTGAACCACCCCACCCCACCTCTGCTCGGTCAGTCGTGGTAGGCCTCCGAGCATGCTCGGGTGTTGGAAGGAAGGAGAAGAAACCATCATTTCGTGGTGGGTCATATTATGCTCGATATACAGGATACACACACACACACACACACACATATATATATATATATTATACATATTTCGTGCATATTACATAGTAATATTCACATATCCTATACGCACTCTTTTGGCCAGTTGCTAAGGTGCCCTTCCTGGTGAAACCCAAGATCAACTTGACAGCTGTCCACGCGAGCTGCGGCGCCTTCGACCACTGCACTCTAAGTATGGTAGGTTCTGTTTTGTATGGATTATAGGTAATTATAGTCTTGATATGGAACATGTGTCTCTTTGTTGTACTGTACACTGCAGGACACACGTCACACGTCAACAGAATCTTGTCGATGGACCGTTTCTGGACCGGGACCAGTCCACCAGTCCGTCTTCAGTTCGGACGAGGGGAGCCGTTGATTTCCCTCAGCTTACGTCTGGTGCTATGAACCTTCGGCAGAACCTCACATGGCGCAAGACTCTGCAGCCAAGAAGGAGTAACGCTTGGTGAACAAACTTGGGACTTACGCAAATCTAGCCAGCAACTGCACGGAAAGATCAAAACAGAGCCCCAATAGATGAAAGTTGACATAAAGTTGGTTCCGCTTCAAGTCAGGCCCTGGCCTTTCCCCTTCTCCATCTCGTATCTGAATCCATGGTATGGAGGATATCTACTCAGAGCATCAACTCCAGGTGTGCTTGGAAGAGCTTGCCTGTTCTGTATCCTTTGCAAATTAGCGACGTCAGTGGAAGCACTGCACACAAAAGGAGCTGTGATCTCCGCACAGTCTCTCTGACTGTAGCGACCCATGCTTGACTACTGCATTGCTGAACATTTACTAAAGAATATACGGCCATTGAGCCACCTTGAGCTCCAAATGTCCTGATGCAAGAGCTCCGCAGTTCCAAGAGCTCGGAGCGTGAAACGTCTGCCAAGGCAGGGCGCCTTCACTCTCTCTGCAAAGCAGGCAGCGCAGAAAGTCTCGTCGTCCGTGGGGGGATGGTGACCAAGAGACCTTCTCCCCAAAATGAAGAACTAATTTTCAGGCGCTCGAGTGCATGAGCTCTGTGAGTTGGAGCAACTCCCATGATGTTCTTCCTGTTGACTGAGTTCTTCAACCAAACATGTTCAGCCATGCTTATTTGCCGCCCATGCGGGCAAGATCGCTCACCCAATTCACCCTGCACCCCCCTCTGAGCCATCTGATGCGTGTGACTCCCCCAGGAACAGAAGGCCCATCCTTCATCCACGCGGTGGCCAACCTTCACATCCTTCTTTAACCGAGACCATCGTCCGAGACCAAAGCTCCAAAGGGAGATGAGTCATCAAAGCTCCAAAGCTCTTTTTGGGCAGATGAGTCATCTGTGGATTTCTTGGGATGCGATTTTGTTGCATCCAGCCAGTGAGACGAACCGTCTACTGCAAGCAGTATGACGCTGGAAATACCCCAAAAGACTGGTATCCAAAACTCGATTTAACACCAATGGGTTGGGCAACGCTGCAGTTGCATCATCATCGATGTCTTCAGTGTCTTCAGCGGCACCAAGTTCGTGCAAATGTGCATTCAAAAGCAGATAGGTGTGTATATATATATATTATATTGCTCTTGTTTCTCCTTTCAAACTTCTTCGTCTGTGACTGGTTGCCCAACCCGCCAAAATTGAGCCATACCACTTGACCACAGCTTCCCTGGCTACCCCTGCATCCCACCGTCGTTCTTCATGGACTTCCCTGCCCGGATCACCTCAGCTGTCGTCCAAGTGACGAGACCAACACGTTAGTGGCACGAGATGGAAGCCGATTCCCACGTGATGTTTGAAACAACACGGTGTCAGTTTTGAAAGCTAGCACGGAGAGCCACTCTCATTGAGGTGCTTTAAGGCCATCTGACTTCTTTTTGTGATTAAAAGAAAATGACATGGAAAAGCCCCCACATCATCAAATGCTTGGTCCTGCAAGACAAGGCTCAATTCGGTTCCAGTCATGATGAAAGAATGAGAGTGTCAGGTGAGTGAGGTAGACACCCTTCATACCCCGTAACTTCATTCACACACTCCCAACCTGCTCCAACCTGGTCGACCTGCTCCAATCCAGGCTCACCTCCCACCCTCGAAGACCGGCATCCAGCCTGCCTCATCGACCAGCAACAGCTGCTCTGCCAAGACTGGAGCCTCGGCTTCTCCGAACTCAGGACGACGTTCAGATCGGAGTCAGACCTTCACATGGCTGTGGGACCGGTTGACAGGGAGACTCGGTGTTTTTCTGGTTTTGACCCATCCCCATGTAAAGGCGAGGTCAAGCCGGACCGGAAAGACGTGGAACTGGGAAAAGTTCCTGAATCGAAAAGTCAGGAGCGTTTTCATCGAAGGGATTGGACATCATGAAAACGCTGGCAGGCTGACGGGGGGTCTCTACAAAGATGGATTTGACTTGAGGAACTTGAATAACTGAGCACTCGTTTGAAGATATATGAGTCGTTAGCCCCTCCCATTGTCTAGTCTCCCATAGTCCTTCTTGGAGAAAAAGAACAACAACAGGAACGTGATAGAGAGAGTAACCAGAGCAACCAAACAAGGTTTAGGCGTCACAGACTTTCGCTCTGTCCGCGCCCATCTGGACCGGTCCCAGTCAGCTAGTCCACCGTCTGATGCACACAGGATCCACACCACACACAGGGCCGCGTGTCCACCCTGTCTGGTTGTGTGTGCTGCTTCGCGACACGTGGAAACGACCGCACCGGAACGGACGAACGGACCGCGGAACGGACCGTCGGACTGGGAACGGACGAGTCCGGTGTGTGCGCCGCCGGAAGAGGAGGAGTCTGCGCTGAAACTGCGTCGTCGCTTTCGGCAAGGTGTGGGAGAAACAAGATGTATTTCATGGGCAAACAAGTCAAGATTGAAGCAAGTAACTGCAAAACTTCTGTGAAACTACTCAAGGTTGAAGTGGGCTCTTCTGCTCTCGTAGCCGAATTAAAACGGGCCATTCCCCTTCGCCTCAGCTCCTTCCAAAGGATTCCTACAGGCTTATGGACTTGGAGTTCACCTCCGGTTTGGTATTCGGATTGCATGGTCATCGTTTTGGAGCCATGCCATCCACGGAGCCATGATGATTTCAGGGAGTGTATCTCATTTTCTCAATGGAAGGAATGCTGTGAGCATTTGTGAGTGTAGTGCGCGTTGTGCCCCTCTGCGCGTTGTGCCCCAAGTTGGAAGTCCTAACGACCACTTCCCCCTCTGTCGCATGTTAAAAACCCTGGCATGAGGCAACAGAGTGGACCTGCTTGTGGAAAACCTGTGACGCGTGCCCTTTGTTTTAAGTGCTTGGCCAGCCCCAGCATCTGCTTCTTGACTAAGAAGTTGTCATAGATGCCTGTACGCTCAAGAAAAGTGCGGAAAATAAGAGAATGCTTAGAGAAGAGCTGTGTCTACAATCCTACGACTCTATTCCAACAAAGTAGCCGCAGCTCAACATCGCCCAACCCAGCTTGTCATAAATTCGTCGGTAAACCCATAGAACTCTTGGACGCATCGGTCAATCTTGCCGAAGCCAGGCCCTTCCCTTTTGTTTGAAAACCGAACAGGACAAAATTGATAGAAATTGCGATGAACAAGCTTGGTCCAACCCTCCCATCTTCCAACATGAAGACAATGCCACAAGGTCATTGAGGATGCGAAAAGCCATGAGACATGTCTTATGCTTCATGACTTGACCCACTAAGATGAGACATCACAAGCTGGAGCCTTTGGTATACCTTGGTCTTCACAGCCCCGCTCGGTCTTCACCCACCGATGTGGGCCGTGGTCATGCGGCACCTTCAATGGCCGGATCGATGGGGTCTCCGCTGGAGACGCTGACCCCCACCTCGGAGGAAGCGTTGAGTTGAGGAGCTGATGGCTGATCAGCGGGGGTTTGGGGATCTTTTTCTTTTGGAGCCCGAATGACCTCGGACCACCCGCCGAATGATGCTCAATTCCCATCAAAACAATGGTGAAATGGGTTCTAGGTTGTTCTCCTATCTCAAGGTAAAGGCTGCCTATCCACAAGAAGTCATCTTCGAGTCACTCACCATGTTCCAGATTCAGATCTTGACACTCTGCACACTCTTGCGGCTTACGAAGTGGGTTGCCCATGGTTCGTGGAGCTTTTCGGAAGAGCCCTCCCCAGTGGGCTGGGACAGCCTCTTGAGACTCCATTCGTCCCTCACAGCCCTCTGAGTTCTCGTCAACCTTCTGCTTGTTCTCACGATCAGCAAGAACTCTGAGCAGCTTCTCCTGAAGAAGCAACTTGGAGAAGAAGGAATTACACCCTTCACTTAGGCAAGTGTTGGCAGTTCTCGGACAGCCTGAGAAACCACAGAGTTCGAAACAATCGGGGACTCAATGCTTCGAGGATGGAACCACGGGCTCCTTTCCCATCCACTTCCATGTTCAGTTCCAGTGGGTTTTTTTTATCAATGTCAAGATACAACCGTTGACACAAATCCTGCCAAACCCCGAACCCCGAACTACGCCGCCTTCGGCCACCTTTCTCCAGAAACCTTCCGCAAACCGCGAATCATCTGTCTCCTGCACATCCATGCCCGAATTCTCCAGGAGCGTCTTCGGCACCACAAGCAATGCCTTTCCAAAGATCTCCACCCCCAAGCGAGGCTTCCCATCCACCGAGCGTTTGAACTCTTCGAGGTGCACATGGGCCGCCACCTGTGAACACGTGGACAAGCGTGTGGCGTGTGGCGTGTGCCGGAACGTCTCCCCCTGTGGGTCGGTCTTCTTGACCGAAAAACAGAGAATTCTTCCAGCTTCTCCGACTCCGAGTGGGTACTAAACCCTAAACCCTGCTGGAAAAAAAAACGACTGCGTAAGTATGTGAACCCTCTCATTGCATGCCCAGGTTGACCTGCAAAAACACTTGAAAGACCGACACACACCTCCCCAGCACCCTCTCCCCACCGGTGACCCGCGGAACGCGCCCCCCACTCTCCCACCTCAAACGCCCCGGCGCCAGGGACGATGGCCTCACGATTCGTCCGCACGGTGCACGGTGGTTGTGGAGCGGCTGTGCATGGCGGTCATGGCAGGAGACCCGGGACCCGGTGGACCTACAAGGTACACCTACCAGGGAGACTCGGTGTTCCGGGCTTTGACCTATCCCTAAATCCAGAGTTGGTCTGATCATGAAGTTGGAAGTTCTAGGATCTGGTATGATCTGGTGGATTTGAAACCGGTAAAGGACCTGCATTTGGGCTATAACCCGAAAAGCCAAGGCTTGCTCTACAGCCAACGACGCAACCCTTGGAAGTCCTTACGTCACCGAGTTTGCTTCGTGTGTCTAACGGGTGTCCTTGGCTCTGGGTGGGGGGTTTCAGCAGCTTCAGGAGATCCACCACGCAGGGTGATCCCTGAACCAAGAACCGCTGTACCAGCCAGCCCCTTCCGCGGCACCAAGTTGCACAGGGTGCCCAAGTTCCCAAAATGTCCCACCAAGTCCACCAAATGCTCCACTGTGCGGGCGAAGCAAAGAACAACTCACGGTCTTCCGCCTCATCTTCCACGACATTCTGCACTGCTCTAAGACCATCCTTGATGGCATCCTGGGACAGAAGCACCCATCACTCGACCACGCACACGGCGGGTGGTCGGTTCCGGTGAAGTTTTGTTGCAAGAAGGGGAGCTCCATAGCGATTCACACATGTATGCTGCACATGTGTCGGAAGGAACACTTCCTAGTGACCATCAAATCTAGCCGCAAATTGTGAGGAGGATGTCTCTTCGTTGGATGAATCGAGGGTCTTGCCACAAGCAAGTCAATACTTTGCAAAAATGCTGTCTCAACAATATTTCAATATCTGACTCCCAATTCCCAACCACATCCCACCCACAAGGCTGGGCTTTGCCAAAATAAGTTGTTAGACAAGGTTCACCTCCTCCTATGCATCTAACTACCTTTAGTACAGGCCGGCCTCACCCATACCTTGCATACCAGCTAGGACCTAGGATGTCAAAACATTCAAAGGGACCTGCCTTCATTTGTGCAACGGCATGATCCGTTGAGCCCTGGATGAGGACAGTGCAGCTCTGAGGATTCTTCACCTGAAGAAAGGCTGGAGTCTGTTTCACAACGGCATGACTCCACTTGAAGCACCTGATTAATGTGAACACAGAAAAAAGAAGCATGAGAGACTATAGTTGCTACATGAAGACTCCGTACATCCATCATGCACTTTCTTCCTCAGACTCCGTACATCACACCTTCACACCCATCAGCTTGTCACTCCGTGGGTGTCCGTGCAGCATTTCTTTCCGGTTTTGTTACGGTCTCTCAGCATCTCACACCCTCAATGAAGGTGAACTTGTCGTCCTGCGACAGTCGAGTCGAGTCGGACTAAGGCGGACTCGACCGAAAAACCGTCGGTGGAGCACGGTCGAGGCGGTTCTTTTTGGGTCCGGGGAAAAAGGTTCGGTCCAGCAGCGAAGACCAAAAGCAACGAAAAAAGAGGGCGAAATTATGAGGATGACCCACGCATGGATGATAGTTCTCCTGGCTCACAGACCTCATCACAGGTGCACTTTCTCGCCAATATTATAGTTGGTGACCTAGACAAGAGGACCTTGTATTAGGATGTATTAGGAATTCTGTTAAAGCCCTTGAAGCCGGCAAACTCACCCTGCTCGGCCCACCTCCAAGCTTTGTTCGTACACAAGGTCTGCATGGCCTCAGTGAAGATATTCGTCTTGAGACTTCTTAGTCAGGGGTATATACACTCCCTGGAAAAATCATGAAAGTGGAAAACCACCTTAACTCACCTTGACCATTCCAGGGAGTATATCTACTCCTGTGCTTGTTTGTAAGGTGTCCCTCCTCAGGGGTTGTCCACGTTTGAGCACACAATAACTGTGACTATGTAGTCATCGTTGATCCCAGAAACGAACAGAAAAGACTATGATCATGCCCTCTAGAATAAGGTGAATCCCATTTAAACAGGAAAATATGTTTGCTCTATTTTTGGGTGAGTAACTTGTGCTTGGGCGGCCTCTACAACACTACTACGTAGGTACTGTCTCTCACAAAATGGCATGGCAGCCCCGAAGGGAGTAGAGATGTTTTGCATGTCTAGGTGCTTGTTTAGGTGGTTGCTACGTTTTGGTCGTTTTCCTCACCCAGAACTACTCACAGCTGATCTGAAGAGCCTGAGCAGCCAGCCAAGATCATCCACATCTAAATCATCTACGGAGTTGACAGCAATCCCGCCACAGGCCAGGGGCAGCCGCCTCAGAAATGGTCGTCAGTGGTTGTGGGCGTCCCTGCCAGGTCATACAGAGGGAACAAAGCAAATTGTCATGCGTAGCATCATGATCCCAGGTACTGATGCAAAGGGACCCCAGGCATAAAGCTCGAGGACATTCCATAGAACCCGAGGACCCCTGAAACACCCCACCTCTCAAGCCACCGCTGCCTTTCCGTTCAAGCCACCGACCTCTCTACAGCTCACAGCTTTGAGAGGCATGTCCGACTAATCTATCTAAACCCTCAGGCGACCGTTTTCAGTCTGGAGGGGGCCATCCCAAGAGAACTCTCACGGAAATCGTTCCATCTTGTTCTTGTCGTAGACCGGCATGATGGCATGGTCATCCGGCTCAGTCCTGCATCGCTTCAGGACTCTCATCAGTGGCCTCCTCACATCATCTGGGCCATCCAAAATGATCTTCCCTCGCTTTCGGAGATAGATCAACTCCGCCGGCCTGGCCAGCTTGCCCGAGCTGGCCCCCCAATCCCAATCCGGGAACTTGTCCGGAAACTGCTTGGCCGCCGGAGCGCGCCACACGGCCTGATCCTCGTTCTTCATGACCCACTGCCCGGCGATGCGCTCGCGCATATCCACGTCCAGCTCCTCCTGCAAGGAGTCCATCTCATCGGTGAGCTGCTCGTCCCACAGTCGGGCGAAGTCCAGGGTCGAAAGGGAGCATTTCATGATGTTTTGGTAGGGCACGTGAGTGGTGAAGGTGCCTCAGCATTTCCGGAAAAAGAAACGTTCCACGTTCTTTTCTCCCAACACATCCAGCATCCACGAGGAAATAGGGGGAAGGTCGGAAGGATCACTTGGACCCTTACATTCACTCAAGCGAGGAATCCAATTCCCCTAACCAAGCCTCCACCCGGGTCCCTGCCGACCTCGGTCTGGTCCCAGGTCACCCTGGCCCTGCCTTGATCATCTTCAGACTCTCGATAGTACTTTTCTCCAGGCTTCTTGGGAAGCATGGCCATGACCGCCGGGCCCAGTTGCCACGGAGTCAGCTCACTGGCCCGCACCGTCTCCTGGTCACGGCGACAGGAGCCCATGCGGATCCACTCGGAGCGGGGGTAGGTGCTTTCATTGGCCACCCACTTGGCATCCACAAGGGCATCCTTGGCTGCTTCGGAAACTGAAAAAAGCCAAGCTTGGGCAGAATAGAACTTGGTGGTACACTTGGTACCATTGAGTTCGGTTGCACACGAAAAAGGCATTGGTTTGCCAGGCCATCTATGGAAGGAAAACTCCCACACAAAAGGAAATCTTGAATCTAGCAAGGGGGTTGGGAAACTTCGGTGGTCGCCTGGCTCCGGCTCCCTGCTTCAATGGGGAAGATGGAGACGCCTTGCAAACCCGAGCGGTTGCTCCCTCTTGAGGAAAAGCCAGTGAAAGTCTTCCCCAAATTTCGGGGATTCACTCCAATCCATCCTGGGACAAGCCTAAACATCCATCCACTCCAATCCAGGCATCCATTCCACTCGGATTCTTTGGATTCTTCTCAAACTTGAACTCAATCCTCCCAATGGCTTTCGAGGGGCGCTCTTCGGTCACACGCACCTTGAAGGCCGAGTTCTTGGACATCTCGCCCCGCTTGATCCGTTCACGGTCCAGGGGGTCCTTCACAATCATCGAGGCCTTGTCACTGTAGGGCAAGCGAAGGCCATTACGTGCATTGATCGTGGTGCTGTCAAAGACTAACTCCCATTCATTGCTTTCATGCAGCTCCATGAGTCTCTTCTGTAGCTGGTTCAGAGCTGAGCCTGCCTTGTTCGTCTCATTCTTGAAAATGCCCAGAGTGACGTATCGAATCACCGGTGCTCGGTCGGGATCTACCAAAAGCTGAGGCCAAACCAAATGGAAGGAGGACTTCAACATCTCTTTTCCCTTGTTGTAGCCAGAGGCAGAGTACACCAAACAATACAAGTTCTCAATCTGTGGGTAAATCATGTGAATCGCTTGAGCCCGGTACTTCATCAAAACGCCTGGATCTCCCGTCACTTGTCCGTTGGCGTCCAAAATGGGCTTGGTCATGATGAGCTCATCCGGGGGGTCAGGCCTTATTTGCCCCGGCAGGGGTTCCTTCCAATCGACCCCAGCCTGAATGTCGAAGTCCTCAATGAAAGGAAATCTGGGGGTTTGACGTTCGGAAATATAGTGGTAGATATTCTTGTGGGAAAGCCATGCGATGTTTTCGAAGAGCTGTTGCTGCACATCATCGGCATCCGGGAAGTGCCACTTCCCGGTCGTGGTAAACAAGTCCTGTGAGCCCATTAAGCTACAATGTGTCATGTTACTCCCAGTGGTTTCATAGAGGAAGAAGAACTGGCGAATCTCCTCAAACTTGTGAAAATCCTGGCAGAACTCAGGGTAGAAATCATGGAGAACTCATGGACTTGCTGTCTAGGTAACTTTGGAAGGTTATCTACCCATAGTGGCTGTGTGAAATTCTGTCCTTCTCTGGGATGTTGTCCTTGATCAACTTCTCCTGCATCCGGTTCACGTGCCTTGGAAACATGTGTTCGATGGTCTTAGGGGCCCGGAAGTCATTCTTCAACAAGCCCTGCATCTGTGCATAGAAATCCCAGTGGTCGAACATCTGATCGCTGATCTCGCAGGCCAACTCTTGTAAAGCTTGGAAGGTCAAGCGCGGCTGGCGGGTCCTGGAGAGAGGAACCGACCCTGGAAGGCGTTGGGCGCGGTGCAAAGAAAATCTTTCCATGCTGCAGTCATCCCATTGTTACCAAGAGAAAGGACAAATGACAAGAATCTTTACCAGATGAGTCGGGATGACAACAATTCACCTCACCATTGACCTGTAAAAAAGATATCTGTTGTAAAAATCACCACCCTGGTCCTCTCCCACTCCCCTTCTCGGGCTCTCTTCATGGCCTTAATGTGCCGACGGTCTTCATCACAGATCTCGGAACAGTCCAGGACCTCATCGAGCATGGGCCCAGACAGATGCAGCAAAGTGTGGAAGGAGGTAATCCCATAGTGCTGCCCAAGAGGATGCCTTAAAACCTGGTTCCAAAGTCGATCCTCACGCTTGGACAAGTTGAATTCATTGCCTCTCTCCCATCCTCGGATTGGAACTTCTTCACCCAGATTCCCTACACCTGGCGTCATCATCCTGCGCCCACTTTGTGCGGCCATGTGATGGTGTAGCAGCTTCCATTCATAGACGTTCAAGCGGCGGATGAACTTTTCCAACAGCTCATGACCTTTGAAAGAACTCGAGGTCACCTCCACGACTGGGCGATTGTACTGCAACCGCAACTCATCATATTCGCAGTCAAAAGGCTTGCTCTTGGGCGGTGTTTTCGAGCGGATAAAGATGATGCCGCTGAGGTCGATGTAGCCACCTTGAGGGGCAGCTACGAAGGCCGACCAACTGAAAGAACATGACAAACCTGGTAGCTCTTAGCTCTTATTCGGGCGAAGCGCGAAGCACTTCTTGACCTATCCTGGATGACTTCCGACTGTAGATGTGATTCGATCGGTGGTTCTACCCGAACTGGTCGCCACCCCCCTCTTTGTGGAAGCGCTCTGGCACTTCCTTCTGCCCAAGCCAAACTCCGGAAGTCAACCAGTGCCCAGGTGGACCACCGCCCAGATGGACACCCAGGACGCGTCGTCCACCTGCCTCCATCGCTGCTCTTGTCCGCTCCCTCTGGGCAAAAGATCCGGCCGAAGACATCGAGGTCCACCCTCCGCCGCTCCTCCTGGCGGCCCCGCGTGAAGAAGGTCTCGCGCCGGCGGGGCCAGAAGCCCTGGGGCAGCGTGGCGATCGCCTCGTCAGGGACCCCGAAGGGACCGGTGAACCAACGGGCTGCGCTGGGCTGCGCTTCAGAAGTCGAAAAGGGGGTGTTGTGCACTCGGCTGTGGGCAGAAAGAGAAGTCGAAAAGGCCTGCCTCGGTGAGTTTGGGGGTCTTGTTGAGCCGCCATCAAAATGTTTCGACCTTTTGGGCGGAAAAGAGCTGGCTCGAGACTTGCCAGTGTGCAGGGCTTGGAAATGTTCAATCTGAAGTGCTCTGCACCGAGACTTTTTGGGTGCTTGTAGGTTGCAGGCTGTCCCGGATCCACCGACATCTGGCAATCCCAAATTGAACCAATTCACCCTTTGGCAGGTTCGGGTTCTGCCGTTAAAAGGAAGAGACCAGGACCCAAGACCATTGATTTGTCCAATCTTTATGGGAGGCCCCAACTAAACCGCCAAAGTAATGAAAAATGACCAAAAGGTACTCCGGCCTGCTTGGGGTTGATGGCGCGAGAAGACACCCAATCCAAAGAACCTTCCAACAGCACGATCTCTTCTTGTCTACAGGCCACCGCAGTATTCCTCACTTTGGGTGCAAACTTCTGCAAAATCTCTTGTTTTTTCTGGTCCGTGACTTGGTGATCATCCGCCTTTTGCAAGCTGGTGGAGATCTCGATGGGGACCACATCATCTCCGATGTAGAAACGAACTCCTTCAAAGCTCAGGATACCTTTCTTCTTTTGTGGAAGGATGCGCATGTTGCCCTTCTGGTCGACCATGTGCACGTTGCCCCCATGCAAAGAGATCCTCTTCGACTCGATCACGGCGACGGGAGATCGACGGAGAGCAGGCAGCGGCAGCAGGCGAACTGTGGGAATTGGCTGTGGAAGCCCCAAGACGAGGGGAGTCGCTGGTCTCCAAAAGGAATCTAGACCACGGAGTGTCCATTGATGTCAAGAAACTACGCCCTGGACATCTACAATAGAATGCTTTTCAAAGATCGCAAGTCCGGCTCAAGACCCCACACCCTCTTCATCACCAAAAGAGAAGAACTAGCCCATACCTATACAGTATATGTATAGCATTTGCTATTTGTTGTACACCAGTTTGACCTGTCCACATGCCACCACATTAATATGTGAAACCAAAAGCTATTGGTTGCTACAGGAATTATCTTCCAAATGCATCCAAATGCTATTTCTTCAGGCTTAAGCTTTTGCAGGTGAATCAATCTTCGGAATGTCTTCTGGGGGGGAAGTACCCAATTTCTTGCAAACACATGATAATGGCCAGTGGTCAGCCTGATTCAGGAAAGTATACAGCAGTGGCCAGCTTTTCCAGCTGGAAATTGCATCAAACGAAAACTAAGAAGCATCTCTCCTGCTCTCCCACCTATCCCGACATATATCCCAACCATCCCCTAAACAATATCATCCTTTAAAAATAAACAAGAAACACACACAGAAAGCATTGAATCTCATCTTCTCCTCCCATCCGTCTTGATCGTCAGGGCGATGCTCTGGTCCGCAATGTCACACTGTCCGAACTCCTCGGGCGACTTCCGCAGCAACGGCGCCAGGCAGCGGATCTCGCGCTTGGGGCGAACGCCTTCGGGCAAGGTGCCGATGTTTTGGCTCACGAAGCCTCAGGTGGAGGGATCGCGATCGGCATACGTGTGTAAAACCGAGTGAAACCGACTGGGTGGGAGGGTGAGTAATCAAGACCGAGGTCCATGCGGATGGGCGATCTTGGGGAGTTGTGTGAAGGTGTTCAATTGAATCTGTCTGCCATCGGCTTGGGGTTTTATATGTACGTATAAAGTAATTACATATAGGTGAACAACGGAAGAGATGTGGAAACAGGCGGGTTGAGCTTAGCAGAAGGCGTTACCAAAGGGACGCACCAGACCAAAGGCGCAAACCCCCAGTTTGGTCTTGTTTCAACATCAGTGGCCTCTTAGGTCCTCACCCTAACGGAGCAGTCTGTGGCACCACATGCGTGGAACGTCACAGAGATGGTTCTAGCTCTTTATCCCCCCCACTTCTTCGGAATCTCTTGAAGGGGTTGGGAGGACTCCAAGAACTACGCGTGGCTTTTCAGTCCTGAAGCACCTTATCAAAAACCTGCAGGACCAATCAGGGACCTTGCTTTCCAGCAAAAACGGGATGCCCTGCACACCATCACCCTGAGCTTCTGGAAAGAAGCCATAAGTCGATTCCACCAGAGATCCTTGCAAACTGACAATCCGCCGCTCCACCTGCAATGAAGGCGGGTCTTCGGGCATGGGCAGCAGCCTTTGCCTAGACTCCTTCCCAGGCGGCACCAGCTCAATGAAGTGCTCTGGCTCCCCAACACTAAAGGCCAATCCCGAAAAGTGCAAGACCATGGGGTTCGTATTCTTGTTGTAGTTGATCACCAGCTTCCCATCGCTCCGCAACGTGGAGGAGGTTCCACACTGTCGGATGCCCTCGTAGCGGGACATCGCCGTGGGCGCAACGAAGGGAATGTATCTCTGAGGAGCACAGCCAGGGATCACCTGGCCGTTGATTCAACTGGAAACCGCCGGGAGCATCCCCAAACAAAGAACAAAGGACCTCAAAACTGCCCCTCCCCGTGTACTCTGGCCCTGAGGGATATTCTGGCACTGCAGGGTCTTTTCGTTGCAGCTTTGGCTCGAATACAACATGAACACATCCAAAAGCTAAACAAACAAATCTTTCAAAACCTTAAGTTCTCCCCTCCATCTACATGTCTCATGGCATCTGCCTCGCCCACTGTGATGTCGAAGTTGGACTTCTGCTTCATCGGGGATGTAGTAGTGATACATCCCGACACCACAACCAGATCACCCTGGCGGCAAAGCACCAGCTTTTCCCCTCCAACTTTCAGCAAGTCAAATCCAGCCCATTCCTGGCGCACTTCTATTTCCGTAAAGAAGCTCTCATTTTGCTTCGACAGCGTCCTCCTCACCATGGCTTTGCGGATGGATCAAGGTTTAAAGGACTCTGCACAAGGAAAGTTGTTGTGCTAGCTATGGGTGATTGAACTAGATCGTCTTCTTACCCTCACAAAGACAAGTCATCTCATTCTACTGTCTCCACTGATCTAGAATCTAGACTTGCCTGAAAGCAGAGCTGCAGCAATGTCTTGACTTACGGCACATGTCAGATGGATCCACTTGTCTCTTACTCAGCCAGAGGCTGCGGAATGCTGCGTACGCAAAGCATCGTCCCTGAACACAACCTGGATGAAGAGAATGAAGAAAAGGCACGATCATCAATCATCTCTGCCACCACAAGAGAGAAAAACACCTTCTAAAGCGCGCCCCTTGCTAGAAGACTAGAAGAAGAAATGACCACCAACCCAAAAGAAAATGTCTCAATAACCCAGTCCCTCTTCTTTCGCCAGGAAAGAGGAGTGAAAACCGTCCACCATCGCTGAGCTTGCACGCTCCATATTGCGGCGCTTCGCCCTGCGCAGCGCGATGATGCCCTGGTGTGCCGATGGCGCTGGGGAGAAACCGCTCGCGGCAGGACGGAGACGGGTTGGAAACGGGGTGGGGGTGACGGGTGCATACAGGAAGACAAGGGTCCCGTCTCAGGTCGGAGGTCAAAGGATGTCAAGCGCTGAAGATGTTTGGAGCTCACTCGCCTCGTGTGCTAGCATCTCCAGAGATGGCGGGTCAATGCCCTTCTGGTTGATCAGCACAAAGGACTTCTTATTTTCCTCAACCACGCAAGAAGAAGTCAGAATTCCGGTACTCTCGGCATCGCCTTCCTGCAAAATCCATCGCTTCCCAAGGTCTCGTATGAATTCCTGTTGTTGGACAGGTCTTCTCTGTTCTTCATATCTCTAGTCATGGCCTCTCAATGACATTGATTGTTTGTTCTTTCTTGATTGGCTATAGTAGGTGTTTGCTTAGCTTCTTATGCACCGATGCATGGTCCAAGGGTATAGGCATGTTTCGTAGCAAAGCAAAAGAAAGCTGTTGGGGCCATGGATGACTCTAGACTCTATATAGAGGTTGAACTAAACGATGTCAGACAATCATCCCCATGTCACCGTCCTCTGTGCAAACCTTCTTCTTCAACTCCTCAGTGCATCGTCTTTTCGAGGCAGCAGGTCCCTCTTCCAGGGTTTTCTGGAAGGTTTTTTGTCACGCTGGAGTGATCTGCCGGAAAAATGGAAAAGTTGAAAGTCCACGTTGGATAGAACAGAGAAAGGCACGGACAAAGATTTGAAGGCCTTTTGTAGACTGTCTAGCATTGGATTGGCTGCGCATTATATTAATATGCCGTCGAAGTGTCACAAGTGTTTCAACCCGACAGCGATTGTCAACATTGCCAAGGGACAATGATCTTCTTGACTTTCTCATCAGTGAACTTCCGCTCAGAACTGCAGCAGAAGTTCCGTGCGGAGGAGGTTCGGGTACTTCGGGATGGTGATTTCATCAGTCTCAAGTTCGATAAATGTGAACCACCGAACAAAAACAACCAAACTCACCACTAGGGGCTTGGTGAGGTGAGAGCTAAAGGATCACCCATCACAGTTGCTGAAGGAGCATCTTTCTATCCGAGCCGAGAGCATCAACCTCAAAAAGCCGATCAACTGGTAGAGTAGAGCAGTTCAGAGATTCACAGCGCACTGGTTCTTTACGTGTAACAAAATGCCCTGTGTTTGATTGACGGTGGGGACACGCTGCCACCGTTTGCCACGGCCCACACGAGGTAGGTTCTTTTGGACGGCTAAACCAAAGCAGAGTTTGTCCTACAAAGACCCGGTAAAGACGACCGAATCATGCGATTCTTGTCCAGGTCTGGTGAATTTTGATTGCATTTCCGGTGACTCTCCCTTTATCAGCTAGCTGAATTTGGTGGAATGACTGCGGGTACCGACTGACTCTGCCAATCCCGGATCCGGCCGTCGATGATTTGTCGCCAGGATCTCACCGCACGCTTGGCCGTAGAACTGCTGGGGGCCCAGGCTCCACCAACTTCTCTCGCTGCTCTGCACTGCTGTAGAAGAAGCCAGCGTTGACCTGCGACGAAACCCGCCGAAGCCCACCGAGCGGCTTCGAAACCGCCGCTTCGTGGCAGACAGACCGGAACCGGAACCGGCCAGAACCGCGCCTGACGGCCGGTTCACGCCAGGTGGGTGCACTTGGAGAGGGGCGCTGAAGGACTCTCATCTATTTGCGAGTCCGCTATGGCATCCATCAACAGACAAGTCTGACAAATCTCTTCCCATTGTCAAATTATTCATAAAACGGGAGCTTTGCGAAGAGCAAAAATCCTGTCAATGTCAGTCCTCACTCTTCTCATACTCCAATGATACGTTCGCGGTGAGAATGTAGCCTCATTCAATCAAAATCAGACAAGCAAGGAGCAAAGCTAACATCAAGTGCCGGCTCTGCCCTACACACAAAATGCATTGCCATGACCAGAATGCTGAGAACCTCACAGTTTTCCAAGCGCTTTGGCATGTCCTCAGACAAACTTCCGAAACATGTAGAACTGTCCGACGCAGCGGCAAGCACCACTTCAAACTCTTGACCAGCTCTTGCAAGTATGAATCTGAGTCTTGAACAGGGTGTCTCGCACCGTGGTCGAGAACCAGCCCCTTGATGAGACGGGTATCAGTCACCAACTTGTTCCTGGCTCAGGAATTGGCACGTGAACACAGAAAGCCGCTGACGGGCGATCAGACAACGAAGGAAGCGCAGGAGTCAATATGTATATATACACTCAATGAGATCTCCCAACAAAGGGCGCGCACGGTTTGCTTTATCGTGCAACCAACCAACAAGTCGACCACCCGTTGACAAAAGGGCGGCGCACTTCATGTGCAAAATCTCCACCATGTTGAGGTCGAGAGGCTGGTCCTCCTTTTTGATGGTACGAACCTTATAGGACTGGACCCTGTGCCACAAACAGTCCATAGGCACCTTTTTGCGGTTAGGCACCACACCACCTGCCAACATCGGCCCCGTAAGACTGTCTCAGAGATTTGTAGGTAAAACCGCAGTTCGAGACACGATACAAAGTATTCAAGAATCAAACACAAGAAAGTCCTGCGCAAGTTTGCTCCAAACAGGTTCCGAGGTCCAAACAGCATCTACCACGACCTCTGCCATGGGATCGGCTAGGTTTGGTGCGATTTTGGTCCTGGCCCACGCAGCTTGGCGACCATCTCAGGATGCCCCGACCTCCCACTAAAAAGCCACCTTGAGAACCCACCGAACCCACCGAACTGCCACTCCAGTCAATTGAGTTTTGGGTCACTAGTGGTCACCAGTGGTCACCAGTGGTCACCAGTGGTCACCATGTCCCACACGGTGAACACTGTGAGCAGAGTGCCCAGCCGTTGTAGATCAGAATGCAACGATACTTTGTTTTTGTTGCTGGGCTCTCAAAAAGGGTGCAAATGGCAACTCCCAGCACTCCCTCCGAGCCAGCTTGAAAAGACTTCTTGTTGCCTTAAGGTGTTATTTGCAGCACGCATGGGGTTTCAGGTGGACTGTGCTGGTTTTGTCTTGTGCAGCATCCTGCTTCAACTTCATTTGGACCAAAGAAAATGTTGATCAGTAGCAGCATCCAAGAAAGATCCTTCTCGCGTGTACAATTGCTTGACAATTGCAGCGGCTGCATGTACAGCATGTAGCTCCCGTTGCTGCCGCAAGACTGCACAGAGTCTCTGATGAGTCACACTGTCTGTATGCATCTATTCACCTGTACACAAATACGTCGACATGCATATCACTGCAGTAATGCTATCATGTGTCATTTGGCTTCAAGTTTTTACTTCCCCTAGCAACCACTTGTAGCCATGTGTAGTGTCTTCCCCGGAGCCTAGTGAAGCTTTCCAGTAAGGAAACCCAAGAACGCACCCGACACGGACACGAACACGAACACTGTTCCACTGTTCCATCCTCCGTTCCAAGCGCTGCTTCCGCACCTCAAAGACGTCCTCGCCACGCACACCAACTTCTCACGCTCCTTGAGCGGCTCGTCGATGTGGATCTGTGCCGCGACGACCCGGTCTCGACCGGGACTCGGTCGAGACAGTGCCCGACCGCTCGGACTCGACCGACTGAGCAGGTCGAACCTAGTGGTCAGGTCATTTGGAACCAAAAGCTTGGGATGACCAGATGAAGAGACGCAGAAAATGGAGGACGACGGAAGAAAAGGGATGAGATCATCCGATAAGTCAGAGGGAAAACTTGAAAACGCAACACAGATTGGCCGTGATGATTCTTATGGGTTATGACGATGATGACAATGAGCAAGCCTCGTGCTCGCCCAATCCTCCAAATGACGGATTGTCCAGGGGCCACTTCTGCCCGCTCTTTGGAAACTCTAGCGCTTGACGCCACGAAACAAATCTAGGACGCTTCCAGTCACAAAGAACAAATCCAGCAGAAGTTGCAGATTTGGAAAACGAAGTTCCATGAATTTCCTCAACAAGGCAAATAAAGTGATTTGGGTAGCTCACGGGCTATGCCCCTGAATCAACCTTCCGTCCCCGAATAGCGAAAAGCGCCTTGAAGTTGTCCAAGAACTTCACTGTCTCTTCGCGTGCAAGCTCAAAGCCCTCCGAAACACTTGGCTTGCTGAATGAAGATGGGCTTTTAAAGCTGTCAAGTTAGCCTCAGAATCAAACAAGTCGCCAGATCACACAAAAAGACATGACCCAATGACATGGTTTGCTTGCTGACATCAATTCTAGACACTTAAACCAAGGTATACAACTGGCCCAACCTCCCAACCCGAAGACGATCACGAAACTCACTCTCCTTGCCACTCCACAACAAACCACAATCCACGTCCCCACATCAACCCAGTAGCTTGGACACCCAAATCCACAAAAGTCGTTGTTTGGGGCCTGAAAAGGGAGTCCCATACTGTCTACCCCAACCTCCCCAAACCTCGTCCACCCAGCTACCACTCCCCCAGCCACTGTACCCTCACCCGGTCCACCATCCGCACACCTCTGCAATGAGCCGTGGGTGGAGGCCTTCGGCCAGGCTTTGCTCGGCCAACTTCATCAGCTCCCCGATGAACATCACACTGAGCCACACGCCCAGGGCAGGGGTGCCGAGAGCGCGCACACACGTAGTCCGCGCACGCGGGAGACTGAGCCCCGCGAGTGCGTGCGTGTCCGGCAGGTGGGACCCCCTGTATATCTCCAGGATGGCCAGGAGACGTTGGAGAAGAGGAACATGCGCTGCTCTTGTCGCTGTGATTTGCGTGGGAGGGCTGAGAGAAAGTGCTGTGAAGTGTGAGGTTTTTCGTGCGTGACCTTTGACACACTTCTCAATGACAGAGAGTCCAATCGACGACGATCGAGCTCTATGTGCCTGGATGTCGTCCCATCGCCTGTGAACTCATCCTGTCGTGAGGATGAGAACCATGACTCGTGTCAGTCAGTGAGTCACACAATCCTTCAAAATGCCAGAAAGTAGACTGCAAGAAAACTCAAAAACCCTTGAGACCCTTGTGAGAGCGATTTTTCCCCCAGACAAAGGCACAACAGCTGAAAGATTGTTCCCACCACACCTGCGCACTTGCTGCTCGGGCGATCATGGAGGCTGTGGGATGCTGGATCTGCATCTCACTGAGCAACACTGATCCATCCTAGATGAGGCCGCGCCGGGAAGCACTTATCCGGATCGGCAGACCTTTGGGGTGTTTTCAGATGCAGATGGCATCCTAGGGCCTCGAAAAACATGGAGACGGCAAAATTTCTAGCCTCACAACACTTGCTGCCCACTGGCTGAGCAATGCTTGCTAGCCCCACCAAGAGATCATTTCTAAGGCTACAAGGCTCTTGGACAATTGACAGCCGCAGGACAACATCTCTGACTTCCCTGAACGCACTTTAATGGTTTTGAGTCAAAATCCATTGCTCCTACAACTACTGGGAGAGTTAGCGGTGAGTCCTACCCAATCCTGGAAAACACTGCAAGAATGACGTGTTGAATTCAAAAATTCCCTCCAGTTGCGGATTCGGCCTGCCTCACCTGCAGGCCGACAGACTTGGATGGTGCCAGCCACCATGGTCGTCACCGGTCCGCCGGCCCGTCGCCCACCTTGGTGATCTTGATCTGCCCAGCCCCGCCCACCAGCATCTTCAGTGTTCCTGAGCAAAGGAAAGGGATCAAAGGGAACCCACCCTACAACAAAATCAGAGGCTCCAATTGCAAGAACCCCTTCTCTGCAGAGCGCCAGAGCGCCCAGCAACCAGGTCCCCAGGTCCAATGGAAGCACCACGAATGACCGGAAGGGAAGGCAGAACGACCGGCGGAATGGCGCCCAGTCACCTCGTGGACCGAGATTCGACTTCATCACCTGGCTTCGTGGCACCGAACGCAGCCACCACTCGCGGTCCACTTCGAACGGGGCATGGCGGATGGCATGGCGGATGGCATGGCGGTTTGGGGGGGGAGTGGTCGGAGGCGAAGGGAAGGAGCGATCCTGGGTGGAGCTGATTTGGAACTTGGAAGTCGGCTCAGGGGTCATGACACTTTCCTGGTAGAGTCATCAATAAGGCCGAGAACAAAGCTACACAAAAGGTGTTCGGAGGGGGGCAAACCCAATCCTCAAACCACCACTTTGGGCATCCAAATCAGGTGGAATCATCTCGAACCAGTGAAATGGTTCAACCTATTTCTTGAGATGTTTGAACAACCTCTTTTCCAGTGATTTTTGTTCGCTTCAAAATGAATGGTTTCAAGAAAGGTCCTCAAAGCAGGACAGTCCTTTGAAAAAAGAAAGGAACTCGACCTGTAAACGCATAAACGCATGAGGAGTCTCGAAAAGAAAAAGGGAACCGCCTGTGTCCCCCAGTGGCGGTTTTTCAACCCACCTCCTGCAGCCCTTTCGCCGCATTGAGGTTCACCGCCAGAGCTTGCGCTGCCTCGCTTCGTCACCGGCCGAACCGACTCGATGCTTTCGCGACGTCGCGGTCGCCGGGTTCGTCCGGTCGGCTGACGCTTCACGACCCACGGCCGTCGGGCCTTGAGCACATCAGCCTTGGAGTTCACGACGGTCACCATGCTGGTTGACGAAAACAGGGGCCTGGCAGCGGTCGAGCCAGGAGCTAACTCAAGTGGTCGATCTCTGCAGAGATCCGCGTGAAGATACATGGTCTAAGATGAAAGAAGATGAAAGGAAGAATGAGTAAAAAATGTGTTTAGAAACCTTTGAAATTCATGGTCCTTCATTCTATGTGCATTCAAAAAGTTGAAAATTTCCACGCAAACCCCATGCCTGCTCGCTCGGCCACAAGCCCCGAGCCCAAAAAAGCCCCCCAACCAACATGCACTGCTTGCACTGAGCCAGACATTCAAACCGTTGTGAATACTTTCGTTCGTGTATGGCACAAAATTGGCAAAAGTTCCTAACAACGACATGTTAAATTTGTTTGACCGTGAAAACTACCGTTGAGGAAAAGGTCATAGGAAAAAAGTATTCATTGCTACTGGATCCTTTCCAAAACAAATCGAATTGGATTGGAAAACGGATCAAGAAAACACAGCAACAAAGTTGCAGCTTGGAACAAACGCATGAAAACACCGAAGTTGCTGTAGAGAGTACGAGAGCAACAAGGAGCAAACATGAAGGCTCAAAGCAAAAAAAACTACTTGCAGCTTCGGTGGCAAGATCTCAATGTCGAATTGGTGCCGTTCGGTCAGTTTGGGCAAACCGACATCATGTTTCTTGGCACCAAACCAAAAATAAGAAACAAACCCAACACAAATCCCGAACAGCTGGGCATAAACCCGCTTGTTCCGCAATGGCAACATCGTAAAATCAACAGCAAAGTGTGTCAGGTTGTTTTGGACAATGTGCACCTTTGACATGTGCCATGCGAACATCACAACACGGCAAAATGTCAGCACAGCACAAAGTGCCCCTGTGTGCAAGTGTGACAAGATTGCAACAAGCAAAACCCATGGAATTTGCTCCAAACCCGCTCTGGGGCCTGTCAGCATGACGACAGCAAGGCCAAACGTTTGCATGTCAGCATGACCACGTGTCAGCATCAGCATCCAGCACAGCCCTGTCACTCAGTGTCAGCATGAGTCAACATGTCCGCATGACACCACGCCAGCAAACCAGCATGGCAACCTTGTCTACATGACCGGATGACAACATTCAGGCAACGCGCCCACATGACACCAAATCAACATCTCTACGTCAGCAGGTCAGCAAGTCAACCTCAATGTTACCATGTCAGCACATACACCCTTTCAGCATGACATGATGTTCGCAAGTTATCATGACACAGCGGCAACATGTTGGAATGTCGACACGACTGCACACACCACGCAAGCATGGCACTTTGACTGAAAATGTCTAGAGAATCAAACGTGAATCAATAGGGCACGTTGGATTCCCAACCACTGGGCATTCCAGCAACTTCAATCCATCGACACCCCTTTTTGATTCAACAAAATTTGAGCTCTACTTGTCACTCAGAACTCCAAGCATCGCACCGACCTGCAGAACATCTCGAATCCATCAGGCAAACCCCCTTGCTCTCGTTTCAGAAGTTTGCTAACTCTAGTCGCTCATCACCGCTTGAATGCCAAGTTTCAGCTCTTGTGCGTCCAAACGCTGGTGTGGATGGACACGCGAGTTGGAACAAACACTTCAACCCCAATGACCTTCCCTTGCTCACAACCCGAAAAAGGAAAGTGCGGAAGTGCACTGTTTCTCAGCACTAAGGGCCTGCGGTTATCGGTATGTATGAGTGAATGCATTTTCGCACTCCTCCTTTGAGGCTTGAAGTAAGTTGGCGTGTTCATGGCTCAACTTTCAAAATGGTAGATCATCGCAATCCAGAAACTCATGGTGTCGGTCCATGTCTTCGTAAACCTCATACTTTTTCTCATGATCATCGTTCTGGTTTGCTTTCCACCATTCCTGTTCACACTTCATCAAATGCTGCTTCGCCCTGAGACACGAGCGTGCTGCAGCCTTGTCAAAAACAGTCAACCTACGAAGTTCTACGCCTGAAATCCAACCGCTTGTAGCTTTGCTGATGGTTGGGTCTTCACGACTCTCAGGCATCCGGGTTTCTTCTCTCAGTACTTCTTCTTCTTCTTCTGGTGCTGTGACTTGTGGTGTTGCTGGTGCATCTGTCATCTCGACATCTCCTTCACTCTCAGGTTCACGCGGCTCGATGAACCTCAATGGTATCTCTACCACCTCTCCTGAATCCAGTCGGACCTGGACTGTCTCTTCACCTTCAATGACATCGTCATCATCGTTCTCACTCTCCTCCCGCTGTGGACTGGGGTTGCCCAGCGGGATTTGTTGTTCATCCAACTCCTCATCTCGCTCTTGCTTTGCCTTCAGGTACTCCTTAACTTGGGCATCCATTCTCCGAAGATCAAATTCTCGATTGCTGTGCTGTGGGTAGTTCCAGTGCTTCCAATCTCCTTCGTGGAACTCTGTTGCATCCACATATCCTGAAGCTTTCACCAAGCCTCTGTGGATTTGCTGTGCATAGGTCTTCAAATCCTGTACTTCCTTGCTGACCTCCTTCACCTTCTCCTCGACCTCATATGTCATCGCCCCCTGGGTCATGACATCCACATGACTATCATCCTTCATCTGCTGGATCACAGTCTCAAGCGCTTTGATGCGCCTCCACATCATCACCATCGTGCCGATCACGATGAAGATCAACACCGCCACAATCATGATGATGAAGCACCACCACCACCAAGTACCATTCTCCGGGGGCTTAATCTCCATGGCGTCGTCCCTCACTCCGGCCACTTGCCCAAGGCCCTCAAGTAGCAGGATTCGATTGAGTAGTTTCGCCAGCTTGCCAATCTTGACTTGACTCACACTCATCTCCTGCAGACGGCCATGCTCCTCCTGGCCCAATCTCTCTCCATCACGTCTTCGGGCATTGCACCAATGGAGAATCAAGCTGATGCGATTCTTGGTGAGGGGTTTTGTGCCAAGATCAGCAATGTTGTAAACTGTCCCAACTGCTCTTACTTGTAGTTCCTCTTGCGCCACCAAATCCTGTATGCACAGCAGTTTTCCCGAGATATGCCGAAGCTTCCCGGGACCCTTCCTATGGCATAGGTGGAGTGCTGCTGAGTTGTCAACTAGACAATGGTGGATCACTTCCTCTTCGGCAACGAACTCGAGGCACTTCTTCAGGTATATTCCATCGGCTGCTGCTGAAACCAATGCATTAAGCTCAGCCTCTGCAGAACTCAACGTCACACTCTTCTGCCCTCTCGAGCTTGTGAATACCACCACTCCGTTGGCCACATGGATGGCTGCAGACGTGGAACGTCTGTGGCTCTTGGACCCTGACCAGTCACTATCTGAGAACGTCTCCAGCAGCCATCTGCCCTTTGTTGTCCTCGTAGCGAGTCCTGATCCTGGCTCCTCAATCTCCAGCATCGTGTACTGGCCCATGGTATTCTTCAAATAACCAACCAACTTTCCAAGCTTCCTCAAGCTCCCGGTTGTTGGGCATGACATTGACCCTGCAAGCTCCTTGATCACATAGGACACATCTGGTCGCTCTTGTGAAAGGTATATTCCACATCCAACCAAAGATCTATAGAGACTCGCAAGGTCTGCCCTCAGCTGTGTTGTGCCATCAGCCTCAAGCATCTCCTGGCTGCATGGTAGGGATTGGATCTTTGCACGTCCCATGGTCTCCTCGTACATCTCCACCATGCTTTCGGCCAGTCTCTGTCTCTTCATACGTCCTCCTCAAAAACTGGAAGGAACTGCCAGGACCAGTTAGATGCTGTTCTGAGATTTCAAACCTTGCTTTGATGCTTGGCAAGAAGTCTTTCACAACGTACTCCTCCTCTCCAAGATATAGGACGTCGTCCACGTGAATCAACACTGTCATCTTGTTGGAGAGCTTGCCCAAGCATGGATTCGTTCTCGAAAACTCAAATCCTTTCTCGCATAGCCAACCAGTGAAATGATCGAACCAAGCTTTTGCTCCAATCCTCTGTCCTGGAAGGTTTCGACGGACTTCAAAATGTCCCGTGGCCGTTGTCACTTGGGTTGGTTCATCTTGTGGTACCTGAAGAAAGGCATCCTTCACGTCCAGCGCTCCGAGCTGAACCTGTGGGCCACCATCTTCCATCTCCTTCTTCCTCATCAGGTACAGAGTTGGTATCAATCTCAAAGCATGGCTTCCACTGGCTGGGCTGTGTACATCATCTCTTCGGTCTGTGGCGTATTCTCTTGCTACCATCCTCGATCTCCTCAAGAACTGCTTTGGCGCTCCTGGCAACTTGGATCTTGGTTTCGCCCTCCAGTCATGAACGAACCTGGTGGTTAGCTTCTTGTAACCATGTTTCAACTCATCCATTGGGACCAAAACTCCCAACTTCTGTAGTCTTCTTTCCTCCACTTCATTCGCCAGGTCGTCAACCCACTTCGGAGGGTCAGGTGGAACTCTATCCAATGGAGCGTCAGACCAAAGCTCATCTGGAATGTCTTGAAGGGACTCTTCTTCCTCCAACGCCCATTCATTTTCCCATTCCAGAAAGTCCTCCTCAATGACCTTGTCCATGTGGTAGTAAAGCCTTCCTTCAACTTCTGTGGCCTCTACTCGTCTCTCCTCTTGCACCTTCTCCTCTTGCTTCAATCTCTTTGCCTCAGGTGCATCCTGCTCCAAACTGTGGATGTTCTTCTCGAAGGTTACTTTGAGTCTCTTTCCTTCGGGCTCCTCCTCACTTCCTCTCAAAGCACCCTTCTGAGCTTCTGGTCTTGGTGTACTCGGCCAGACTGTTGAAGGTCCTGCCTGGTTCCGGCTTTCATCAATTTGGTTTGGTTTTCTCACTGGAATCAACTCCTGGACTTTATCCTCCACGTAGTCTTTCTTCTTATCCTCGGCCAGCTTTTTCTCTTCTTCACCTCCTAGGATGCCAACTTCAACTGGCCTCTCTTCTTCAGCTACCAAATCTTGGGCCTCCTCAAGCTTTCCTGCCAAGGTCTTTGTAAAGGCGAGCGCCTCCAAGGCGTCCTCATCGTGACTTGCTATGGCCTTGCTCGCTGGCATAGGAACTCCCATCGGCCCTGTCACCATAGCTGCTAGCCTCTTGGAGGGCACAATTCGTCCTCCAAAGTTCTGCTGGAACTCCCAAGAGTAAGCCGTAAAGTTCTGGTAGCAGGCCAAGTACTTCTTGTTGGCATTGGAAACTCTCCTCAATGATCTGCTTAGGAAAACTCTGTTGCCATCACCGATCACCCAAGCGTCCTGGATCTCTGTCTTTCCAAGGCAAATCCCAACTTTCCATCTCAGGTCTGCCTTGAATCCCTGCTTGGGCTTTGAGTAAGC